TAAAGCAAGGGTCTCAGGATGGGAATAGGTTTGTTTTGTTTTGTTTTGTTTTTAAGGATGAGGTGGGCATATTCTTCTGGGAACAGAAATGGGGAGAGTCTGTGGTGTCAGAGAGAGGTAAAGCATAAGAGCCTTAGGAAAAGAGAAGTGTTTCTCATGTAAGTGACTGGCTGAGGCACATTCTAGAGACTGGGATAAGGACTACCTTGCAAGAGGGACCTCATGTGAGCATTTGGATCTCTCCAGAGTGGGGAGGAATTATAATGGGTGGTAAAATGAGAGCCAACATCCATTAGCCAGTGATAACTGGGCCTCATTGAAGAGCTTGGCTTATAGTAACTATTCATGAAAGGTTCTCTTCCACTCTGCACTGAAGCCTTTCAGGCTTTACCTCTAGGGTATTATCCTTTGTACGTGCTCAGTCCTTGCAATTGGATGGGATTTGGCTATGCACAGGATTGTGAACTGAAGATGGAAAATCATTAGTCATTTAAAAACCTTCTCCCACTTAAACCCCTGCTCACTGCTTATAGCCTGACGTGAAGCTATAAGGAGTGAAGGCCTGGTGGAGCCTCTCTGAAGGCCTGGTGGAGCCCGAGTCCTCAGCCCCTCCCTCAGGACTCCTGACTGCATTCCACACAAGACCACCTTCTCTCCCGATTAATTGCTGTGCCCAGCACAAAGACGATGCTTAGTAAGTGTATGTCAAGTGAATGAGCTAAATGGGCTTTTGCCTAGGCCAGGCAGATGAAATCCTCAAAGAGCATGGACTCTCAATTTTAAGACAGCCAGAACCAAGAAGCATTTATTCATTCAACAAACATTTAGTGCATGTTTATTTTTGTCCTGGGCACTAGGAGTACATGCTTCCCCCGCTGGAGGGGCTTTCCGCCTTTTGATGGTCGCCATGCATGGTGAGAGAAGGATGCAAGGAGACCTGGAGAGAGTGTACATGAACAGAGGTGGAGGTGAAGGAGATGGAGAAGTTGGTTTGGAGACAGGAAGGGCTCAGGTACTCCGGGTCAAGGCCCAGACACCAGGGAGCATGCTCATTCAGGGACTGCATGTGTAGAATGCTTTGGGGAGGAGGCAAAAGTAGGCACGGTAGGCCCAGGGACTCTGTACACCATGCTAAGGGAGCGGAACCTGTCCTAATGGTGGTGGGAGTCTTTTAAAGAATTTGAGAAGAGCAGGTGAAAGATGAGGAGGCCTAAAGTAACAGAGTGCCTGGGAGCCAAGAAGAGGAAGGGTTCCAGAGGTCTTGGGAGGTCAGCAAGCGGTGCGGATAGCCAACACAGCAGAGGAGGCAGATCAGGTGGCTGGTTCATTCATCTAATGAGGAGCAGCTTTGGGGAAGTCTGATGAGTTGAATTGAGGATGCTGTTCAGTTTCCTAGGGCTGCTGGAACAAATTACCACACACTGGTGGCTTAAACCAAAAGCAATTTATTCTCACAGTCCTGAAGACCAGACGTACAAAATCAGGGTGTCAGCAGGGCCACACTTCTCCAGAGGCTCTGGGGGAGAATCCTTCCTTGCCTTCTCTAGTTTCTGGTGGCTTCTGGCATCCCTTAGCATGTGGCAGCATCACCCCAATCTCTGCCTCTGTCTTTACATGGCCTTCTCTTCCCCTGACTCTCCCCTGGGAATCTCTTATAGAATACTGGTCACTAGATTTAGGGCTTGCCTGGATAATCCGGGATGATCTTATCTTGAGATCTTTAATTACATCTGCAAATGTCCTTTTTCCAAATAAGGTCTCGTTCACAGGTTCTGGGTATTAGGATGTGGATGCATCTTTTGGGGAGCTTCAGTTCAACCCACTACAGGAATTGTGCAGAGGTGGTCCTCACTGGGGGAGGCTGGGCTTGGGACTGTCCTCATTGCAGGCGGAAGAGTGTGTACAGAGTGGGACAGGCCCAAGGAGGGATTCAGGAGAACCTGCTGTTAAAAAAAAAAATCAGAGGAAGTGGAGACTTTGCATGGTACGCCAGAGGTGAGGAAGTAGGGATCAGGGGCCCTAGGGCAAGTATCAAGGACACCAAGCGGGAGAGGGACAGAGTGTCAAATGGTATAGGGAGGTCTAGAAGGATGAAGACAGGAGTGTGAGTCTCTCCCATTGCTAAAGCCAACCAGAAGGCTGGTGGCAATTCAGAGTGGGGGAGTGGGCCCCAGGGAATAGGGGGCTAAGGAAGGTGTGGGAGGTGAAGGCTTTGGGGAAGCTCCCTCTGAAGGGGAGGTGAGGAGAGCAAGTGAGGTAACAAGAGGAACCTGTGGAGAGTGTTTCCTTTTTTCTCTGTTATTTATTTTTTTAATGGGAAAGATTCAAATAGCTTGCTTTTTTTTTTTTTTTTTTTGAGAGAGAGAGTGCATGAGCAGGGGGAGGGGCAGAGGGAGAGGGAGAAGCTACTTCCCACTGAGTGCGGAGCCTGAGGTGGGGCTCAGTCCCAGGGTCCCGAGATCATGACCGGAGTTGAAGTCAGGAGCTTAACCAACTGAGCCACCCAGGTGCCCCTCAAATAGCTTTTAACGGTGGATGTGGTAGGTCTGTAGGAGACAGGGAGAAATGTCCAATTTATACATATTGTTAAGTAAGAAAGGCAGGTGGAGGAGCAGAATATACAGAAGGACACCAGTGTAGTTTACACACTTATAGGAAAATGTTGGAAAAATACCTACAACATTATTAAGAGGGGTTGTCTCCGAGATTCCGTACCGGAGCTGCGGGGCGGGATGGAGAGGGGAACTCAGGTTTCATTTGATATCCTTTCCACTGTTTGATTTTTTTTCTCCCAACGAGCATGTGTTTCTTTTGTAGCAAAGCTCTAGTTTAATTATTTAAAACGCTGATGGTAAAGAGCTATTAGAGAGGAAAGAGGAAGTTCTAAAAGCTAGAGGTTGCAGAGGAGGCAGGAGCTGGGCTCCCTCAGACGAGGTCTGCCTTGACCCTGGAGGGGGAGGCGGGACCAGGAGGGTATGTTGGAGCCAGAGCAGGAAATGATGGGCTCTCCTCCTTGACATTAGAGGTGAAGCCATGTGGGGCCTTAATATCAGGATAAGGGGCTGAAGGGCAGAAGGCCGACTATAGGGACCAAGGGAGGGTTTCCGGCAGCATGGAGCCCTTCTGAGGTTGTGGTTCATCTACTGGTCTCTGCCTCAACCCCCCTGCTGGGCCATAGCCAGTCTATATCCCACCACATCCCTATGCCTGGCCTGTGCCATCTCAAGCCTAGGAGAATGAGTGTCTGCAGGGAACTGGGTGTAGGAGGGATGGAGGCAGCACGCAACATAGTGACAAGGCAGGGAGCCTGCACATCATCACAGAGTAACGGGGCTCATGGTGATGGAAAGATGGGGAGAGCCAACAGCTGTGGGCATCGGATGAGGAAAGACGGCCAGAGGCTGAGGGGCATCTTGTCATCCAGGTGACGGCTACAGGTGGGCTTGCAAAGGTGAGACCAGATCTCTTCCATCTGCTCTCTTCCTGGGATGAGACCCAGATGGAGGACAGGCCTGCCAAGAGGTCTCCCAAAGGACGGTCCTGCTGCCCTGCCCGAGGGCCTGAGGGGAAACAGACACACAGAGCCCTTCTCCTTTTTCTCCTGTCCTCCATGGTGACTTGTCGTGGGGCTGAGGGCTGTGGCAGGGGAGCCCTCTGCTTGAGGGCAGGAGGACTGTGTCTGAGGCAGTCACGGCAAGGGGAGGTGCGGTGTGGGCAATGCTGCTATTTCTAACCTGCTAAAGTGAACAGAACCCTGACTAGTTGAAAAGCAAGCTGATTGTCAGGGGTGGAACCCACCTTGGAGCTGTCAGGGCCGTCACATGGAAACTGCCTGGCAGGGGGCGGCGACAGGGGGCTTGGGCTGACAGGGCTGTGATTTTGAAAGAAATGTCTTTAAGAAAGTGATTTAAAGTAGGAGAGAAATATTATTATTAGATAATGGCTGTCAGGTTATTTTTTGATGTGTTCTCTGAGTATTTCGTAACCATCTCGCCCCTAGATGGTAAGGCCTTCCTGGCCAGAGGCCATGTCCCGTGCACCTGCTGGTTTCGCCTCAGTGCGCGGCATCCAACCAGTGTCAGGGGGCGTTTGCCGTTTGGCCGGTGGTCACTTAGGTGGAAGGTGTTATAATTAATCCATTTGCCTTTGTTAATAAACCACAAACCAGGATGAGCGCCTGCACCTTTGGTCTGGACGCCTGGGTCCCACCAGGCGCCGCCCCCCAGCACCGGGCATAGGACTGCCCCTGGTGGGAGCGGCAGCAGGACAGGGGGATGGGGCTCACCGGAGACCTGTAACCTTTAGCGGCGAATGGTCACGGGACCCCCCCTCATGCTATCAGTCCCAGCTCCTCCAGCCAGCCGTCTCCTAAGCCCTGTCCTCAGCAGTTGCTCTCAGCAGAGCCCTCTGATTCTAGTCCACAGACATTTTTGGAAATCCATTGCCTCTCTTCTGTGCTGACCGCTGAGACTTTAATCTCCACCCTGAGGTCAGCAGCTCTAAAACATCAGCCTCTTGACCAGTCACCCTACAGCCCCCCTCCCTGCTCCCGGGCTTTGCCAGGCCTGACCCTGGCACCTCCCTGGTGAAGCCCATACTCAGTGTAGTGTCCATTCTCCACCAGGCAGGGCCCCCCCTCCTCCCAGCCCCCGCTCCAGCTTCCCATGAGTGGGCCCTGGCACTGGGTTGCTCTGTGTGCCTCCTTGCCAGATGCCCCTGCCTCCTCTCTACCTGACGGCTGACTACCGGGGGTTTGGAGGGGAATTTTCAACTCAGCAGACCTCATGCAAATCGTTTCCCATCTTTCCTGCCCATTTAGGAAGCTTGATCTGCCCAGCAGGGCTTTTGAAGCCGCCTCCGAAGGGGACTTTGAGCTGCAGGGGTATGCCTTTGAGGCCGCAGAGGAGCAGCTGAGACCTCCTCGGACCGTGCGTGTGGGACTTGTTCAGAACAGAACTCCCCTGCCTGCAGATGCCCCTGTGGCAAAACAGGTGCAGCCTCTTTTGACCATAAATACATACACGGAGCAGTTGGCCCGCTCTGTGTTTTGAACACGTCCCCAGTCCCCAGGTGGCCACTCACTGCAGATCCATAGGCACCATGAGTGGTCATCTAGATGCTTCTGCCCTGGCCAACCCCCTTCCCTGTAGCCCCCATCTCTGGCTCTTCTTTCTTGTCTGGCTCCTTGCCTTCTCGCTCCTCAGTGTTTTCCCACCTTCCCCTCTACGTCCTCTCCTGCGATTGATCTGAAGTTCCATTTCTCAGTGGGGAGGGTGCCCTTTGTCTGGCTCAAGCTCTCTCTGGAACTCTGCCTCTCAGTCTTTTGCCAGAAGGGTACCTGCTAGCACACGCCGGTCAGGACCTGTCTGTCCGTCCGTGATCCTGAGGGTGGGGACTCACCAAACCCAGATGTCTGTCAGCTGATGGTGCCTCAGGGTGGTGGGAATATGATACGCATTTCCTTATGACCTTACAGTTAATATAAATGTGACAGCATTCTTGTATGTCCCTAAAGAAATATGTTGTCACGGACACAGGCGATTTGTTGTCTACACTTCTTCACAGCATTCCTCCAGCTGCTCAAACTTTTAAGGCTTTCTCTGCAGAGGTTTCCTGGGAATACAGCATGCCTCAGAACTCCTAGGGATTATCGAGAAAAGGTCAATTGGATTCCAGGTCAGGTTCTGCATCATCTTTCTCTTTGGTCCTGCTTTTGTTGGATTAAAAGATTTCTGGTTCTCAGGTCACTTTTTGTCTCTGGATTAATTGACTGTGAGTATGTTTCCTCAACCATCCCAGATTGTCAGGGGCAGGGACACTGTTCTCACCCCCACGGCACCTAGGAGCACACTCCGCACACTGTCAGCACCTAGCAAACACCCATGGAGCCTTGGTGTGCAGTCTTGAAGGGGAGAGACAGCATCGTGAAGAGTTGTTGCTCTCCGGGTTTTCAGCCTGGTTCTTCAGGTCTTTCTCTGAACAGACGGTTCCAAACATCTCCTGGGGGCCAGGCATTGTGCTGAGGACACCAAGAAGATGAAGACAACTTTCCTCCTGCCCCTAAGGAGCGCGTGGGGTAATGGGAGTGACAGACAGTGGGGAACACAACAGCACAATGGCAACAGCGCCACCATAGGGACCTACCAGGGCGTGCTGAGGCACCTCTTGATGCTCAGCCTTTTGCTGGGAGAGTCACTCCTCTGTGGGAGACGCATGACAGGAATAACACATCCAGGGAAGATTGGGTGGAGTGGGGAAGTACATTCCTGAAGGAGAACACACCTGGAAAATGGGATCCATTCATTCAATGATAAGATACACACAGGAAAATGGAAGTGGCAGGACAAGTCATACCGGAAGCCTTGAGTACAGAATGGTAGAAAGTGGACTCTGTCCTGAGGCAAAAGGAGCAGTTAGCCCAGGGGATGGCCAAAGTGTGCACTGGGTGTGGGCCCCTCTTGCAGTAAATAGCAGATAAGCTTATACGCTCCTCTGAGCAACCCTTTGGGGCAGATGGGGTTCTCCCTATTCTCCAGGTGAAGAAACTGAGGCTCTGAAAGTGTGTGGGACCCTAGAGCCTCTGCACCTCCACCTTTTATTTATTTGTTTATTTAGAGCTTGTGGGGGAGGGGTAGTGGGCAGAGGGAGAGAATCTCAGGCCGACTCCACTGAGTGCGGAGCCTGACGCGGGGCTGGATCCTACAACTCTGAAATCATGACCAGAGCCAAAACCGAGAGTCAGAAGCTCAACTGACTGAGCCACCCAGGGCACCCCATGCACCTCCACCTTTTACTGCAGTTTTTGGGCTTGATGCGAGTAGGCTATATCAGAATATCCCCACCTTCCTCATCCTCTTGGCGCTGCCTAGGTGGGGGCGTGTTCCTCGTCCTTGTGGATGAGTTCGGAAAATAGTCTCAACCAACAGGAGAGAATAGGTTCTAATCCTTGCTTTTTGAATTGCCAGGTCACTGCCCTTCACAGACGCATAGAATCCATTGTAGAGGTGGCCGCTGTGTGCGGGGTGAACATCATCTGTTTCCAGGAAGCATGGAGTAAGTCTCTCCTGGGGCGCTTCCTCTGCTGCCTTCAGATAATAGTGTAGTATCTCCATGTCACCAAGAGGACTACTTGACTTTTTAAAAAATCCCCTCTTCTCTCATGTATAGAAAGATTCTTTTGTCAACGACACCAGAGAGCCAGGAATCCTGGCCTCCACACACCGCAGTCTGTTGTCTGGTCCTGCCAGTTCTTCCTCCCAAACGGTCCTGAACCCCTTCAAGTTGCTCCTACCCACCTTCTCACCACTGCCCTGGCCCAAGGTGCCACCAGCTTAAACCTGCCTTCTGTATTTGCTTCCAGCTGGTCTCCCTGCACTCTCCACTTTGGCCCCTTCTAACTGGCTCTTCATGCCTTCTAGGAAAGATCTTTACAAAACTCAACTCTGTACTGCTTAGGCTGTTCCTTCCGCCTCCTCTGCGGCCTCATCTCGGCTGGGCTCTGCCCTGACCTTCCAGATCCTTCACTCCCCTACGACACCCTCTCCCTCCTCCCAGGCCACTGCAGCAGCCGCTCCCTCTGGCCTGGCCTTCATCCCACTTGCCCTCCCCTCCCCCCTCCTTGCCTTTTAGACCCTGTCCAGCCTTCACATAGAAGCTCAGAGCCCACCTCCCTATCTCAAGGTACGTCCCTATAACCTACCCCTGATACCATATACCTTTATTTTCTTTTTATCAAAGTTCTACATGCTTGTGGTTGGGAGTCAAATGGTCTACAAGGTCTGTTACCAAAAACTAGCTGTCTTCCTCCCCAGAGGCAACCACTTTCTACTCTTGGCTGGTTCTCTGGGAATCTACCTTTGTGTTGCTGCTTCCTGATTGTTCAGTTTCATACCATCTGTTACCTTCCCACTGTGGAAGAAGACAGCATTAGTCCCTTGCCTCCTCTGCTCACTCTGTTCACACATACCCTTCTTATCTTCCATCCATTCTCTGCCAAGCCATTTTGTAGACTTAGATTTCTTTTCCTGAATCACTTTCTGTTTTCCTCAGAATTTGCTTTGTTTTCTGTACACCTACCCCAAATTCTACCCCAAACTTATTTCCAGCTTCCTAAATCCTCTTGGGAGGTTTAGGCACGTAAAGCTGTCTGTTGGTTCCATCTCCTTTTTCTTCAATTGTAAGTTTTCATTTTAATTCGTTAGTTAACATACAGTGTTATGCTCATTTCAGGTGTACAATATAGTGATTCAGCAGTTCCGTGTATCACCGGGTGCTCATCACAAGTGCTCTTCTTAATCCCCATCAACTATTTCCCCCGTACCCCCTACCTGGTTTCATCTCCTTAAAGGAGTATGTCCCCAGAGCCTTCTGACTGCTCTAGTCTGAATTAGTTGCCCCCTCTGCTGGCTGCACGGCTGTCATCCTGGGATTTCCCGTCACCATCATGCTGGGGAGTTCCTTTAGCTTGCTCTTGGGTTTCTTGTATCCCACATCTCCCTCTTTCTTGCTTTTCTCCCTCTTTTTGGTTGAGTAGTTTTCTGAGAAAGAACGCATAGGAGGTAACCTTTTTGAGCCTTGCATATCTGACAATATGTTCCTCCTGCAACGATCTCAATAGTTTGGTTGGGTATTGAATTCTAGGTTAGAAATAATTTTCCTTCGGAAGTTTGAGCACATTGCTCCCTTGTCTCCTGGCTTTGAGTGTTGTTGACTCATCTAAAGCCCTTTTGACTGATGAGTTTCTTTTTCTCTAGAAGGTTGTAGAATTTTCTCTAATGCTTTGAAGTTTCATAATGATATGCCATTGTGCGTACCTATTTTATTTTTGTCATTAAGTCATCAAATATTTATTAAGCCTCTACTATATGCTGGGTGCCACCATAGGTCCTTGAGATACAGCAGCAAGCCAAAAAGAGAGACACCTCTGCCCTTAGGGTGCTTCTTGTGGGGAGTGGGGAGACAGTACATAATGTGTGTGTATCTATTTTAATCCATTATTCCAGGAACTCATTGGGTTCCTCTGCTAGAAATCTGGGTCCTTCAGATCTACTGTTCATTAGTGATTTTCTCCCCTCTTTTTACTTTCCTCTCTTTCTGATATTCCTACTATTAGGATGTTAGAACCCTGGGCTAGATCCCTAATTTTCTTAAGTATTTCCTCCTATTTTTCATCTTTGTCTTTTTGCTCAGTTTTCTGGTAGATTTTATCTTGATTTGCCATTCAGTCTTTTGTTTCCGCGGTCATATTTTGAATTTACAAAGAGTTCTTTTGGTCTGTAAGTTCCTGTTTTATGACATCCTGTTCTTATTTTATAATCACAGTACTTTTCTCTTGTCTCTGAGAATGTTAGGTAGCATTTTTTTTCTCCTTGCACATTTCCTACTTACTCCAAATTGGTCTTTTCTCCCCAGCTGCTTATATTTTAAGAATTGGGGGTTAAAAAGCTGATTGCAAACTCTCTGAGTTTGTGGGAAGAGCTCCTTCCCACTGAGTTTCATGAGAGGATGACTTGGTTTAGCTGTTTGTTAGCTATTCCTTCATAGTAGTGTCTTTGGGTCATTCTTTTCAGGCTGGTCAGAGTCCCCAGAGAAGATTCTTCTTACCTCCTGCCAAGAAGAGAAGGAGGATAGGGGTCGGGTGTGCCAATGTTTGCTGAATCCTTCTGTTTTTGACACTCTACTCGTCTTCATCTGTCCTGGCTTCCCCAAGGCCAGAGGCCTTCTGTTTAAGCACCTCCAGAGAATGAGACTCGAGCCTTCTGCTGGGCTGGGAGGGACTCATGCCAGCCTTGTGCAGTGGAGGAGGGATCTGGGCTTCTGACTGCTTCTTAAGCAGACTTTTGACCAATTTCTGTTTGTCACCCCTCCCTGCTTCCCCACCTTCAGAGCCCCATGGTACCTCTGACTCCTCAACTTTCCAAGGGTGTATGGTGGAGAACGGTATATGGCTTCCTCTACTGCTGGAAGCCTGAATTTTCTGGGTCGATCACAATATCTACCCTCATCCCTTGGCTCTCCAGCCTCCCGTGTTCTGTTGCTCTTGTCCTTTTCTCAGTGCTTCATCCTCATGGGTTTGTACCTTTACATAAAAATCCCTTTAGTGTCATTTGGTGTGGTTACAGAAAAGAGCAAAGGCTTGCATCCAGTCTGCCATCTGTACCCAGAAGTTCATCTCGTTTTCTGTGTTCCCAGTCACTTATATTTTCACTCATTTGGGCAACACTTGTGATGTGTCTGCCTCTTCCATTAGACCATAAACTCCATGAGGTCATCGCGTGGTGTTAGTTTATTTTTCCCATTCTAATTATCACCCCTATTTTTTTAACATTAAAAATATTTAACTGTGATAACATAATATTCATCACTTTAACCATTGGTCAGTGTACAATTCAGTGACGTTAAATGCATTCACAAAGTTGTGTAACTGTTACCACTATCTATACCCAAAACTTTTTCAACATCTCCAACAAAAACTCTGTACTCATTTAATAATACCCCTCCATCCTGCACCTCTGATAGCCTCTGTTCAACTTTCTATCTCTCTGAATTTGATTACTCTAGGGACCTCATGTAAGTGGAATCATATAGTATTTGTCCTTTTGTGACTGGCTTATTTCACTTTGGAACAATGTTTTCGAGGTCCATCCATGTTGTGGCATGTGTCAGAATGCCTTTCCTTTTTATGACTGCATAATATTCCACCGTAGAGACCACGGTTTATCCATTCCCACACCCCTGTTTTATCTTTAAAAAAAAATTATTTCTTTGTCAGAGCACGAAAGCGCAAGTTGCGGGGAGAGGGTGGTGGGAGAGGAAGAGAGAGAATCTCAAGCAAACTCCCCGCTGAGCAGGGAGCCTGACATAGGGTGAGATCCCACGACCCTGAGATCATGACCTGAGCCGAAATCAGGAGCCAGACGGCTGACTGACTGAGGCACTCAGGCTCAGCTTTATCTTTAATGAACAATCCCTGCTACATGACAGACAGTATGTTTACGGGATGGTTTCACCAACTTCTTCCTTTTCTTGGATCTGGAAAACTCCCAGTCATCCATCAAGGTCTAGCACAGACATGCCCTTCTTTGGGGGACCCTGGGAACTCCCCTGCATACAACTGAGCCTCTGTGGAATCGTGCAGCCACACGAGGTTATAATTCACTTCCCCCCATCTAGGCTGGCAGCTCCTGAGGGCAGGGCCAGGTCTAAATTAATTAATTAATTAACTAATTTATTTATTTATTTATTTATTTTTAAAGATTTTATTTATTTATTTGACAGAGAGATAGAGAGCACAAGTAGGCAGAGCGGCAGGCAGAGGGTGAGGGAGAAGCAGACTCCCCGCAGAGCAGGGAGCCCGATGCAGGGCTCGATCCCAGGACCCCGAGATCATGACCCGAGCGGAAAGCAGACGCTTAACCAGCCGAGCCACCCAGGCGCCCCCAGGTCTAAATTTAGAGCCTGACTCATAGAGTGTTGATTCAATAAATAAGGAAACCTCTTCCCCTCTAATCTGAAAGCTGTGGAGTTGGACTTTGCAGCCAGGCTCCCGCCAACCTCCATTCCCCATTCCTCTTTGGAAAGTTTGTTTACAGAGGTTGTGTAAACAGGAAAAGAAGCCATTAAAATGGAAATGGAGAAATTTGGAGAGCTTAGCAACCTGAAATGAAGTCAGAAAGGTAGGTTTTATTCTCTTGGGGTATTTGAGTCTCTCCTAATGTGCTGAAAGCTGAGAATAAATGGTCATTAAGGATCTTTTTTGTCATTAACAGCTTTTTCGTTGGCTTCCTTAAAATAGTCTCTCCCTCTTTCCTGAAGGCAGGCCTGGGGAGTCTTGAGCCTGAGGCCAAGGCCCCTGGGGCTGTTACTGGCAGAGCCTGGGTGGCCAAGGTGGTGGTGGTGCCATTGGTAGCCTCTTCACACTGGCCATATCTTAGGACCAGCAATCCTACGACTGAAAGGAATTGGAAGACTGATGCTTCTTTTCTCTTTCTTCTCTGTGAAATGAGGAGAGTCTTCCCTAGTTCACAAGGATATGGGGACCAGCTGCCTATTACTGGGCCCATGGCCCACGTTTGGGAAAGGTTGACTACAATTAGTAAGCCCAGACAGGCCACCCGCCACATGCCATGACCACATAAGGCACTTGCCATGCGCATCACGCTGCTTCCTGAATACCCTCCCTTCAGGTTAGTCAGTTCAGAGCGACGTGAACCATAGCAAGCATCTGGAAACTTCCATTAGGCTAAGCTCCCTGAAAGAAAATGGACTGGGGTTATTGGAAGGAGGAAGGTCTAAGGAGTATACAGAGTTGGTCCAAAGAATTCAGTCATCCAAAGCAAGAAGAAAAAGACAAACAGCCTGTTAGGAAACGGGCAGAGAGTTAGGAACAAGACTGCCTAGAGGATGAACCCAGAAAGGCCAGTGACCATGTGGGAAGGTGCTCCACCCATAGGTGAGGGAAATACATATTTAGTCATGGTGCTATACCAGCTCACACCATCAGACTGGCCGACACTAAAGAGTATGGGAGCGATGGAACACACGTAGCCAAAAATCCCGGTACCCACCCCCATTGCAGCCCCCACTCTCCCCCACAAAGGCAAGCATCATTTTGAACCCGGTATATGTAGTGTTCTGTGAATTGTTACTACATATGTAGGTACCTGCTGTTTGAAAAATAAAAAGCAAACAAAAATCAGTTTATGAATTTAATGAAATTTCTTATTTAATTAGCCCCCTGATGGCATCTAGCCAGAGAACATGGGAATAATGCATTTATTCTTGGGGAACATTCAGTCCATCATCCAGCAGTTCCCAGACTTCTTACGGGAGTTCATTAAGTGAGTGGCTTTTCTTGTTCCTGAACAAGCCTCTCTATCCCCATGAGGAGGAACATTTCTGTGGTGATGTGTCCAGGGTCCCCAGTGCCATCCTCAGTGGCCCTCTGACACTTTCCCCAGGGAGTCTTGGCCTTGCTTATACCAACCCACAGATTAGCCAGCAGTTTGGGATCCAGAGTAAAATATACGTAAGATCAACTTTACCAAGTTAGTCATTTTTGCACAGATCAGTGGCATTAAGCACATTCATACTGTTGTGTAACCATCACCATCATCCATCTCCAGAATTTTTTCCTCTTCCCAAACTGAAACTCTGTCCTCCCCCACCCAGCCCCTGGCAACCACCATTCTAATTTCTGTCCCTATGAATCTGGCTATCCTAAGTACCCCCATCTAAGTGGAATCCTATAGCATTTGTCCTTTTATGACTGATGTATCACTTAGCATAATGTCTTCGAGCCTCACCTATATTATAGCATGTGTCAGAAGTTCCTGCTTTTTAAGGCTGAATAACATTCCATTGTATGGATACATACCACATTTGGGTTTATCCATTCATCCATCAGTGGACACTTGGGTTACTTCCGTCTTTCAGCTGTTGTGAATAGTGCTTCTATGAAATGATTATGCAGATATCTATTCAAGTCCCTGAGTTGTTTTTTCCCTAAATTCAATTGTTTTTTAAGACTGCAGTAAAGAAATTTGGCCCAGCCCTTTGTTTTGCTATGAAGCCTAGAAGGTTAGGGTCTGCCTTGCGCCCACATTCGGGGACACAGGGCCCAGAAACCAGGCTGGAGACCCTCGGGAGCCTTGTTAACTTGCGGAGACCCTCAGCTGCTGGGTCGAGGAGTGCCCCCTCCGAGGTCACGAGTGTTGGATGTGATTCTGACTTTCTCCTCTTCACAGCTATGCCCTTTGCCTTCTGTACGAGAGAGAAGCTTCCTTGGACGGAGTTTGCTGAGTCAGCAGAGGACGGACCCACCAGCAGATTCTGTCAGAAGGTACAGGTCACAGAGCATGACCACAGCTGCTGGCTGTGGCCCTTCACCATGGAAAATGCACCCATTCGGTGCTTGTTTTGCCAAATGAGATTAGATAAGACTATTTGCTGCCCTTTTTTTTAGTGTACTTTCACTTGAAATCATAGACTTTCAGAGCCAAGAGGGCCCTTAATGACTTTTTCAGGTGAGGGAGCTGCAGCCCAGGGAGGGGTAATCTCCCATGGCAGGTTCTGCCGTTAGCAAGCAGCAGAGGTGGCCTTTGGGGACCAGGGATGAGGTTGATTCCTTGTCCGGACCTCTGCTGCTGCCCATGTTGTTTGCCTGCCTTATGTAAGCTTCTCTGTGTGGCCTGTCTCATCAGTACCGAGATCAATCTTCATTTTTCTTTGTTAAAACCTTATAATGTTGTTTGACCCCACTGATATGAAATGTCCAGAGTAGGAAAATGAATAGAGGCAGAAAGACATGGTTGCTGGGCAGAGAGAGGGATGGGGAGTGACTGCTAATGGGTGTGGGGTTTCCATCTGGGGGTAATGAAAAGGTTCTAAAATCAGATTGTGGTGATGGTTGCACAGCTCTGTGGATGTACTAACAACCACCCAGCAGCACGCTTTATTTTCCCCCCTCGCCCATCAGCAGTGACCCGAACAGCACACTTTAAAAGGATGAGTTTTGTACCATGCGAATTAGATCCTAATAAAGCAGTTCTCTCTCTCTCTCTCTCTCTCTCTCTCTCTCTCTCTCTCACACACACACACACACACGCACACACAAACCCAACCCATAACAACAAAGAGGTTACGAATGATGACTTATCCTTATTCTTAACAAAGCACTTTTTTCACTTCTCCATGTCCCATTTCAGATTTTATACGTATTTTTAGGGGATTTTTTTGAGCAGAACTGTAATCATAGTGATTCTATCAAAACTGAGTCACAATTCCAAACATCAGCATTCTCATGCTATCAGAAAAAAATCTGTCGTCTGCCAGGTTGTTGGTTCCGTGCTGTGGATAAAAGAGAGGGGACTGGTTAAGTGGTGACTATAGACAACACACTTGAACCAGGGCCAGAGGAAGAGGAAAGGGGGAATAGGGGATGAGAACTGGTACCAGGGACACCAGTCTGCATCAAGCGGGGCCCAGGACCCATGGATGCCCTTACATGACTTGGAACATCACCTTCTGCCCTTTGTGCCTTTCTCCATCCTTAAGGCCAGAGGTGGTGACAGGCTAGTTAGAGTTGAGGACAAATGACCATCTGGGGCTGCTTATCCTGATGGTCACCAGGTCCTTAATATTCTTATGTGAGACAAAAGGAATTCAGCATCAAAGAGTTTGGTTTGGCTTGGTTGGTATGATGAAAAGTATGAGGAATATTCTTTTTTTTTTTTTTTATTGTGGCAAACAGCACATAAAATTTACCATCTCAGCCATTTCTAAGTGTATCGTTCAGGGGTGCTAAGTACATTCACATTGTTTATGAGACAGATCTCCAGAACTTTTTCTTCTTGTAAATCTGAGACTCTGTACCTATTAAACAACTCTCTATTCACCCCCAGCTACTGTCAGCCAATATCCTACCTCCTGTTTCTATGAATTTGACTACTTTAGATACCTCACATAAGTGGACTCATTCAGTATTTGTCTTTTTGTGACTGGCTTATTTCATGTAGCATAATGTCTCCAAGGCTCATGGTGTCACGTGAATCACACGTCATCCATGTGATGACAGGATTTCCTTCCTTTTTAAGGCTGAATAATATCCATTTTATGGATATACCATATTTTTAAAAGATTTTATTTTTATTTTTTTTTTAGATTTTATTTTTAAGTAATCTCTGCGGCCAATGTGGGGCTCAAACTCACAACCCCGAGATCAAGAGTCACTTGCTCTACCAACTGAACCAGTCAGACACCCCAGATACACCACATTTTATTTATTCCTTATCCATCAGTGGATTTTTGTGTTGCTTCTACTTCTTGGCTCTTATGAAGAGTACTGCTATGATCATTGGTGTGCAAATATCTCTTCAAGATATTCTTTCAGATATATACCCAGAAGTGGGACTTCTAGATCATATGGTAGTTCTATTTTTAATTTTTTTGAGAAACTGCCATACTATTTTCCACAGCCGCTGCACCATTTTACATTTCCGCTAACAGGACACAAGGACAACAGTTATTCTTACTTAGCTCAGCTTGGGCATCAGGACAAGGCTGGCATTCAGTCTTCCAAAGAACAAATACAAATGATAGCTCTGAACCAAGTCAAATTATTTAGTAGCATCATTTAATTCTTCAATAAAAAAAAAAACCTATGACAGTCAATTTAAAAGTATGACTCTGTTACATTCCTCATCTTTGCAGCTGGCAAAGAAGCACAACATGGTGGTGGTATCTCCTATCCTGGAACGAGACAGAGAGCACGGGGACGTTCTGTGGAACACAGCCGTGGTGATCTCCAATTCCGGAGCAGTCCTGGGAAAGACCAGGAAAAACCACATCCCCAGAGTGGGCGACTTCAACGAGGTGAGGTGGCCCTACAAAAACCCGCTCAGCTTACTGGCCCTTCGGTCTGCACCTGCCTGTGGATCTTTCCGCGAGGGAAATCCTGTGTTGGATCATGTCCCGTCACACAGCACTGGAACACGGTATGGCTGTAGTGATCACGTGGAGAGATGAGATTTGAATGGGACTCCCAGGTGAGTCCCAAACACCAAGCACAGAGGGATATTTCTTTTTTTTATTTTTTAATACAATTTTATATAAAATTATTATATAAAAATAAATTTTTAATTTTAAAAATTTCTTATTTCTTATTTTTTATTTTATTTTATTTATTTTTAAACATTTTATTTATTCATTTGAGAGAGAAGGGGAGAGGCAGGAAAGGGAGAAGCAGACTCCCCACTGAGCCAGGAGCCTAACACAGGGCTCAATCCCAGGACCTGGAGATCATGACCTGAGCCGAAGGCAGACACTTAATCAACTGAGCCACCCAGGTGCCCCTAAGATTTTATTTATTTATTTGAGAGAGAGAGTGAGAGAGAGCAAGAGAGAGAGCACGAGCAGGGGGAGGGGCAGGCAGAGGGAGAAGTAGACTCCCTGCTGAGCAGGGAGCCCAATACGGGACTCTATCTCAGGACGCTGGGATCATGACCTGGGCTGAAGGCACTGAGCCACCCAGGTGCCCCTGGGTATTTCTTTTTTTAATATAACCTGACTTGGCTTTCTTAAATTCATCTCTGAGGTAAGTGGTATATAGATTAAAACCAAAATAAATAAAATAAATAGTGCACAAACATGAAATGATTCCTGCAGCCCCTTTCGGGCTCTGAGCTCCTCACCTGTCACAGTCTAGCCCTCATTTGGGAAGTGTCGATGTGTTGGATGGCAGGAGGTAAACGCACTTGTCTGTGCACATGGGTATTAGGTAAATCTTTGTGCCTGTGATCAAGGTATAAATGAGGAGAGCTATTCTGATTAGTTAATGCCAATGCATGGGTGGATTGGGTGAAGAGGGGTGGACTCCACCTAATACCTAAGATATGAAACCTGAACTTGACCTGCAGTAAATACAGTTGTTCAGAATGTGATATACCCAGTCCTTTGCTGCCCTCCCTGATTGTGGGGGTTCCAACTACACTCCCAGGCTGGTCAGAAGGACAAGGAAGGATCTACAGAGCTAGATGGCATTCCCTAGGGAGGAAAAAAAACCCTGGTGTCTCTCAGTGACAGCTGGAGGTGGGGGTGGGAAGATGTGCTCATCACCTGTTTACCCTGGGATTAATCTTTAGCTCCCAGCAGATAGTGAAGGGCTTGTCTCAACACACCAGGATCTACTCCAGTATCCACCACATGTACACATCCTGGTTGCTGCCTGATCCTAACACATTTTGAAATTAATGGGAAGAGGCAAAATGTTCTGGGAGCAGATCTGTTTGGGACCCCAACTAGCCCTCTAGCCCCTCCACAGTGCCAGCCATGAAAATGTCCCAGGGCCAGCACCCCAAGGGGGCAGGCAGAGAGGCAGACATGGCAGGATGTCCCTAGTCCCGGGCAGAATGCCCAGGGAGCTCTGTGGAGGAGAGTACTTTCAGGGTGTGAGCTCTAGTCTCAGATTGGCCTTCATCAGCTGGACAAGTCGCATGGCCACTGAGGCCGTGGTGTTCTCCCCCAATAGGCGGGGATTGCTCTGTATGAATTTCCAGTCCCTTCAGCTCTGACATTCTTCATAGGAACATGTGGTTGGTGAAGACATTGACTAACTCGTGTTAACATTGACCAAACCTTGACCATTTGTTGTACCATGACTGAAACCTAACCAAAGTTTATCCTTAAAATACTGTGGGAAGTTGCTTCGGGGATTTTTTTGGACGTGCCACAAAAGAAATTGTGGGGAAAAAATTAACCATGGTGATTTCCCAGTTATTGTGTCTGGTTTCTTCGGTTTCTCTCTCTCTCTCTCTCTCTCTTTTTTTTTTAACAGATTGAAATTTGGGAACTTAGAGTCACAGCCAAGATTGTTACTTTTGGAGTCCTGGCAATATTTTCTTTTTTTCTGTCAGATCTAAGGAAAGAGAAATTGTACAGCTCAGAGGCTTTCATACATGGTCCTTTGTTTTTCAGTCAACTTACTACATGGAAGGAAACCTCGGACACCCCGTGTTCCAGACTCAGTTCGGGAGGATTGCGGTGAACATCTGCTACGGGCGGCACCACCCTCTCAACTGGCTCATGTACAGCATCAACGGGGCTGAGATCATCTTCAACCCCTCAGCCACCATTGGAGCACTCAGGTCTCTCAGCAAGTAGGATCTGGGAGGGTTCTTGGGACCTAGCTCTTTTCGGCTCATGGCCGAGCAGCAGGGTTCAGAGGTGGGTTTGGTAAACTGTAGCAGGCAGGTGAGGCCACCAGGTTGTCTAACAAATCTGAGCCATGGGATTGCAGTTCATCAACTGTGAAAAAAAAAAAATACTCAACGTCAATTAAGATCCCCCCCTCCCAAGAGCTGCTTTGCTGTAAAATACTATTCCTTTGCTATTATTCTGAACACTGAGAGGATAACAGTCCCCCTCCACTCATGCCATAATTGTCAGGCTTCCAAAAAGTTCCTCTTCTAAAGTGCCCAGAGCATAGTAGGTGCCTGGCCAGAATTAGCCCCCTTCCCTGTCACGGCCACTGTGCTCCCTGACAGAGGGACCACAGATTCCTAAGCCTCTTGTCTGCGACATCTAGCACATGGAGGGCAGACAACTGGACGAGGGAAGGAACCAATGAGAGAATCAAAGCCGAGAGGGTCCTTAAGAGATCAGCCAAGTGGCTCTGAAATTTGTTTTTAACCAGCAAAGTGTTTTCTTCTAACAGCTAACACGAGTTTCGGTGTTAGCCTCATCCTGAAACAGATAAATCTATCTTGATGAAGGCAGTGGGGGGACAGGCTCTGGCAGTCCCTGGGCCCCTGCGCAAGACCCCTGGGGCCCTTCATTTAATAATGGCGGGTGAGCTAAGATGACCCAGCATGACTACACTTCCGCTGCTTCTCTCTTCCCCAACGGCTGAATATTTGGGTGGTTTCCAGTTTTGCATCATTAACAAGTACCAAAACTCTAGGAATTTATGTGGAAATATCTTTCTCTCCAACTCACTTCCTCCAAAGCAGGATTCCTGAATGTGGAAGTGCTGGCTTTCACTCTCGTTGTCCTGGTTGCCAGTGCCCTAGCAGTGGGACGCTGGTGGTGGGGAGGGCCCCGGTCCCTCGGTGGGGAGCAGCTGGGACAGTTCTGGTGGGCAGCTTTGAGTTCCCTGCCAGCCTACCCCTGTCACTCTTCTCTCTTGACTAAATTGCAGTCTAATTCTTCTGAAGGTCAGAATGTGACATTTACTTTACCTTTTCTTCTAAGCACTGTGCCCCCTTCTCAAGAGTGACATCTCCACAGCATTCTGATTTGCACAGCAGGTCCCTCAATGAGCCAGAACGCAAACCTAGTGGGCTACCTCAGGTCAGCTGCCCCCTCCGTGCACCCGAAGTTTCTGTCTGTGTCCCGGAGGGGCGCTGTTGGGCAGAAGGGGAAAAATCTCATCTTCGACATCCCCTGAAGAATCTCCCTGGGGCCTCATGGCAGCTTGGTTACTATGACAGAATCCAAAGGCAGTTGTGATGTAGGGTAATTACTGGTCATTCAGCATCTGGACCTGGGCAGAACCGGGCCAGCCCCCTGGAGCAGCCTCCTCCTGCTGGCCATGTGTAAGGCATTCAGCACGTGCCATCTACCTGCAGGGGTCCCTCGAGGAACCTGAAGCCAATGTGCTGAGCATCTCTGCCTGAACTGGCTCTTGGGCCAAGGCAGGCAAAGCTGAGGACTCAGGCTCAGATGGCCGCATCCCTGACCTTATTCTGTCGGGCTTTTATTAGCCCCAATTAAGCAAACAGAAGCACCCCAATGTAATATGCACATAACTGCTTGCGTCTTCAGCAGCCTAGTAGGCTTATTAAAAATTACTGATTTTCCTTCCTCAACCAACAATCATCCAACTCGTGCCTTTCAAGGGTATGATGAGGCTGTCAGTTAAAACGATAACAGGTCCTTTGGAAAGTGGTGTGTTTCATGAGCTCCCAAAATGTTCACACCCTTTGACCGGATAATTATACTCCTAAAACTTTACCTGACAGTGTCTAAAAGAGGAGGAAAAGGCTGTATGCATTAAGATGTTTCTGGCAGCTTTATTTATAATAATAAAAGAGCTAGAGGTGAGAGAAATGTCAGGGTTAGGTAAATTTCAGCCCATCTCTTCCATGTTAGTGAACAGCCACTCAAAAGTCATCCTGAAGATAATGCAGCCTCATGACAAAAGCCTGTGAGCAAGGAAAGATGTTTCCAGGCGGCGGTCAGAGCTCTGTAAACATCTTTTGCCAAGGATGGATGTGGAGTGTGGAAAAATTACAACAGATGGTTTATTAGGATGGTGGGGATTCTGGGTGGTTTTCTTAAAATGATAAATGATTATTTATAGAATTGATGGTGAATGTTTTTCAGCACAAGGCCAGGTAAATCCCCACCAGCTGCATATAAGCAATGGCTTCTGGAACCATCCATCCCTTCTCTGGCATGTCCTGTCTCCCTGACTCCCACATGCTCTGTGCGTTGGTGGGCTGTTCTCACTCATTTTGGGGGTCCCACGGTTCTAAGCACACAATAGAATTGAAGTGTGTTTTGATGAACGGAGTTGTCCTGACGGTGCCATGCAGCCCATGTGGTCTAAGGTTTCGGCCACATATATGTGTGAATAGGAGAGTCGTGCCTTCATCCCTTCGGTGCGTATCTTCTTCCCACCATGATTATTTTTAGGGCCTAGTGTAGCCACACTGGGAATAAGGCAGATGTCTCCATGCCCCCAGTGGGCTTTCCGTGATTCCCGCACACACTGGGCTCTCATGAACCTCCAGCTTCCTCTCCCTTGCTTGTTTGGAGAGCCTAAGTTTTATTGCCAGCTGTGGGTTTGAGTCCTACGCAACGTACCCTCCCAGGAGAATTGCAAGAATGATGTTTTATGGCACTCACCCTGCAACTGTCTATTTAATTCCTGAAAATGTCATTTACGGGTGTGTTTCTATAAAAATCCTTTCTTAAAAGTTTTGTCAGCTTGGCTTAGCAGCTGGGGGAAAAAAAGCAGCAAAATGAGTCCCCTCAATCAAGCCTGTGATTTTTTTTTTCCAGACTCGTGAATCCTCCTGAGAATTAGGCTTATCAAGCACCCACTCCCTCCACCTACTCCTGGTTTAAACCAGGTGCACACTGACAGGAAGAAAGATTCTAGGGCATTTTGCTCCCAGTCACTTAGTGTTTCTAAGTGGGCATTATGCCTGTCAATCCAGAATCCTAATGATGTTGTTCCTTAGACAAGAGATAATTGGTGACAAGAAGGCCCACTGGACCCCATGGCCCACTGTAGTTTGGTGGGCCGGAGAAGGGCGGGGTCTTCAGTTGGGACATCGCTTCCCATCATATCCTACCTTTGTGGGCGCTGAACTGAGGAAGGCCTGTGCCCTTGTGATGACTCCTTTCTGGGCCAGTAAGAGGGCCAGGGAGCCTCTGCTTAGAGTCTCGGGGCTCAGAAGAGGAAAACAGGAAGGCACTGGGAGATGGGGACCGGCTCAGGGGAGATGACACCTGCTACAGAATCTACTACCCTTTCCAGTTACCTAAATTCCTTTCAGGTTTCCTCTGTTTGCTCTAGGGACTGCTTTGCAAGGCAACAGAGCAGGATAGGGATTAGGGCAGCAGTTGGAGCTCACAGAGGGCTGTGCATGAGCCCTTAGACCCCCAGCTCCCTTCTAACATTTGCTAGGTGAGGCCGTGACCAGCCTGGAAGGTGAGTTTCTCACTCAACCCAGGAGGAGGGAAGGAGAGAGAACTAGCAGTTACGGAGTTTCTGCCATGCAGCCCCCTCTAGAAGCTTCACCGGTGTAGTCAGTCCTTACAATATCCCTTTCAGGAAGTTTCAGAAAAGAAAACTGCGGCTCAGGGCTGTTTTGGCTTGCAGCAGGCCCGCCCCAAAAGGCTGCTTGGGCTTGAGCACGGGACAAGCTGGCCTGCCCGTGGGTTTGGGGACACCCGCAGCCACACCAGTCTCCCTGGCCATCCCCACTGCAGAGCCGAGAAGGCCGGCAGCCTGGCTGTAGCTTGGGACCAAGCACCCAGCCCGTCTGGCTGGGAAGTCAGCCACCTGGTTCCTCTCGCTTCTCCCTCACAGTGAGTCCCTGTGGCCAGTTGAGGCCAGAAATGCAGCCATTGCAAATCACTGCTTCACCTGTGCCATCAACCGAGTGGGCAAGGTAAGTGCCCGCAGTCTGGCTGGGCTCCCGGGCTTGGTCAACCAGGTGTGCTGGGGAGGGGACAGAGCTGCTAGGAAAGCTGCCTGCCTAGAGGGGGCCTGGCCTCTTCAACCAGCAAAGGCCACAGAGAAGCAACTGTCTGCTGGCCCCGGTGGGGACACCACAAACCTCTTGTCCTTGTCCCTGTGTGTGTGCCACAAATTCTAGGGTCCCGGAGGAGGGGAGACTGGCTTGGTCTGTTCCTTTTAAAGGTATTACTATGTCTCTCTTCTGTTTTTGTCTATTTGGGTTTGTAGCTGAAACTGTTTTGAAAGGCTCTCACCCTGTCACCACCAAGTCTCCTGTTTCATATATTTTTTAAATTTTTTTAGATGTGATTTATTTATTTATTTGACAGAGAGAGAGTGAGAGAGCGAGAGAGGGAACACAAACGGGGAGTGGGAGAGGGAGAAGCAGGCTTCCCGCGGAGCAGGGAGCCCGATGCGGGGCTCGATCCCAGGACTCGGATCATGACCTGAGCCGAAGGCAGACGCTTGACCGACTGAGCCACCCAGGAGCCCCTCCTGTTTCATATTTTTCCCCATTGACCCATGCACTGAGTGAACTTGACTACAAAACACAATGCGTTCGTTACGTGATAATCCTCTTCCTCATTCTTATTAATCGGATGTCAAACTCTGATCAGACACCTGCTCAGGCTGAGATAATCAAGGTTTCTACAGTAAGTTGGTCCAATTTCTGGCAACATGAAGAAACTCAGTGTTTTCATTAGCCTGTATAACCCCATCACGGCTTGAGGTACTGTTTCCATTAGGCTTTGGGGGAAATTCTGATGGCAGTGTGTGAGCACCCCCTTAGTCCCCTCAGAGACCCCAAGCTGGGGCTTTATTTCCCAGGCAGACAAACCTCAGCCGCCTTCCACAGGCCTGAGAACCACTCTGCTCAACGTCTTTTTTTTTCCCCTCCCAGCAGATTATAAACTCCGCAGAGACAGTCAGGGTTTTTACCTTGCCTGTCAAATTCCCTGCTGGCCGCCTGTGTTGGCCCAGTGCTGGCGACTCAGCGGGGAAATTTCATAAGTACTTGTTGATTGCCCAGCGAGTACAGGCCATTCCTTCTCTCCCTGTAACTTGCTTCCCTGAGTCCTCCTCAGCCGGACTTCGCGCTGGTACGTGCTGGTAGTGCCACCTATAGGTTTTGCCTTACCTCAGTTTTGTTTCACAGGAGTACTTCCCGAACGAGTTTACCTCTGGAGATGGGAAGAAAGGTATGTTCCAGGAATTTCCGTGGTTGGCTGCAGCTGAGGCGTGGGCCTCACTGTCCCCTTCTCTGTCTGCCCCCTCCGGGCAGGGTCTGCCCCACAGACTGTGGTCCGCACATGTGGCCCATTGTCGGAGGGGTGCTCTCCTCTCATCTTCGTGGCCCACAGTGTGGGAGCCTGACTGTGGCTGGGTCCTGGGTTTGTGACTACCTCATTCCCTAATTGGGAATTGAATGGCACTGGGTTGGACTCCATCCCTCCCCTGGGACTGGTAAGGAGATGGGCCTATAAGACATGGAAGAGCCTTTTGTGGGCTCCCTTGAAAGAGGGGGTGCTTTATCCACCCTACACATCTCCTTCCTCTCTTCCTTTGTCCTTGTTCACCTGCCACCACCACACCCCATCCCAAGATGCACAAATGTCCCAGAACATCAGCATGGACTGCCTTGGGTTCCTCAGACTGCAGCTTGTTTTTTTTTTTTGTTTTTTTTTTAAAGATTTTATTTATTTATTTGAGAGAGAATGAGAGATAGAGAGCACAAGAGGGAAGAGGGTCAGAGGGAGAAGCAGACTCCCTGCTGAGCAGGGAGCCCGATGCGGGACTCGATCCCAGGACTCCAGGATCATGACCTGAGCCGAAGGCAGTCGCTTAACCAACTGAGCCACCCAGGCGCCCTGCAGCTTGTTTTGATCTGAGGGCAGATACCAGAGGTGAGGACCTCTGCTAGGAATCCCCCACCCACTGGTCCCTGTGGCTAAGAATGTGGAAGGCAAGGGCCCACCAAGGAGGTCTCAGAACTGGCTTAGGGTATCCCCTGGAAAAGGCAGAGAGGACTGAGCAGGTCTGTTTTCCCAGAAAAGCGCTTACTAAAAGGGTTCCAGATCCCCTCACTTGAGGTCCAGTGTGTCCAATCCCAGTCAGCTCCCTGCATAGAGAGGTGCAGTGAGGCAGGGAAGTGAGGCCCACTGGGTGCTTTCTGTGTCCAAGCCCCTCCTAGACCCTGCACTGTGCCCACCTGCTCCTTACAGCGTAGCTGTTAGCACCACCTGACTTGTGAGGGGACTGAGGCATGGAAGGAAGGTACAGCAGGTGCATCTGGGAAGGCAAGTGAGGGCAGAGCCCCTAGCTCACCGTGTTGGGCCACCACAGGAAGCAGATCACACAGGAAGCCCTGCAGAGCTGTATGACTCCCTTGGGCTGTGGGTGGCTAATGTTGGGAGTAAGGGCTAATACTTCTACAAGGATGACCTTTAAGAATGTTCCCAGGGGCCGAGGTGAGGGCTGTGAGGGTGACTTTTGTAGGGACTTGCTCAGCCTCAGGCCTGAGGAGGGAGGCAGGTTGTTTGAGGGGGTGGCACAGGGATTCCAGGGAAGGTGGGGAGGGTGGCACAGACACTTTGTCCTGGGTGTCGCTCAGTATGCCTACCTCTCGGCCTGCACAAGCTCACGGATGCTTTCTTTTGCTCCTCCAAAGCTCACCAGGACTTTGGCTACTTTTACGGCTCGAGCTACGTGGCAGCCCCGGATAGCAGCCGCACCCCCGGGCTCTCCCGCACCCGGGATGGGCTGCTGGTTGCTGAGCTCGACCTGAACCTCTGCCGGCAGGTGAATGACATCTGGAACTTCAAGGTGGGTCCCTGAGTCTGCTGCTGTTGCCCCGCTCCTCTGCTTGGACACCCATCCTGCTCTCAAGAGCTGGAAACCACAGCTGCTGGGTTTGCTCTCAGGAGCGGCCAGATGAGGCTCCAAGCCGAGCAGAGGACCGGGTCTCTTCCTCCCAGAGCTGGTGTGCGAGGGGGGAGCCACTGGGTCAAATGATGCCCAAGCAGCTGACCTTAATAAATTCTCCTCTGGTCTGATGTAGATTCTGGGCGCCTTGAAACAAATTAATCTCAATTTCATTTGTCCGGAGAATAGAGTGGTTTGGCTTCTCTAATCCCTTTTTTCCTTTCCAGGCATTTGCACAAGATAAATGTGGGTGTCTGGCTCTGCCTGTGGCCTGGCCCCATGGTCTAGGCCTTGACAGTAGAGGGAAATGGGTCACACAGAGAAATGGAATCTAGGCCCAGCTCTGCCACTGCCTTTCTCAGTCACCCTGAGCAAGCCCTTTCTGCTCCCAGGCCTTAGTATGCCTGTTTATAAAACTGGAAGATCTCAAGTGGCCTTTGAGACCTAACACATGTGACACCAGGGGTCCTGGGAGGAGCGGAAGTGCCCACCCTCCTGGAATGGGGTGGTGGCATCCACTGGACCCCTGGAATATACCCTCTTATCCTGGATGCAGATGGAGTTTGCTGCATTCGGGTCCAGCAGTATTTCTACCAACTCAGAACCCACTTACACATGCAAATGAATGTCCTCATGACTGCATGACTTTGCCCAGCGTGTCTGGGAGGAATCACCTCCCCCGTTTACCTGAGCATGGGTCTTTGGGCATGTTCCCTGAGTCTCAGATCCTCATCAGACAAATAAGGCATTGCCCACATGAACGTCTCCTGGCCGGGCTCTCCTCTTCCTGGGAAGCTCAGATTAATGCAGGATTCCACACAATAAACAGGATGTTTTCTCATCGGTAACTTTTTGAATGCAAAAGCCCACACCCCCCCCCAAACTATGGTGATGGGCCTGAGCTCCTGTCGGGGTTTTGGGAAGGAGGGAGGGAATGCCTGGGTGTGAGCACCCTGGGTAGGTTTGCCAGCCCTGTCCCCGCTCACCCCCAGACCCAGAACCAGGAGTCCAGGGTGCAAACCCCAGCAAATCCCACTGCTGCCTGGAGACCTGGAGCAGGTCACTCCCCTCTCTGGGCTGTAGGCTGTTCTTCTGGGGTTCTGCAAGACCTCAGGACAGCCTTCTTCCCTTCTGCCTCGGGGCAGGCCACACCTTCTGGATGGACAGGTCACAGAGGACTTCCAGCAAGAGGGACCAGTGTGTGTGAGTCATCTCAGCATCTGTGATCTTTGCTATAGCGCTAGAATCAGTACCCAGTGGTCACACAGGGGTTGTTCCTCTACGTTATGGTCTGAAACTGTCCCGGCCTCTCGCTGGCCTTCCCGACAAATTTCTGTCCCATGGCTGCCCTCTAGTGGCAAGAGGTGGTGGTGTGTAACCCGGATCGGTCTGCCTGTGTTTTGCTTTCAGATGACCGGCAGATATGAGATGTACGCTCAGGAGCTCACCGAAGCCGTCAAACCCAACTACAGCCCCAATGTCGTGAAAGAGTAGCTGGATTTTAGCCCCTGCCCGCCAAGGAGGGCACCTCTGCCCCTGGCAGATCAGCAAGTACAGCAGGCTTTACACGCCCAAGTTCTCCCTGATGATGTCCTGATAACACTGTTGGTTTAAAAATGTTCCAGGCCGGGAGGGTAGATTGAAGAGTAACTGCAGCGGGTATGAGGTTTCCTTCCTGGCTGACGAAATGTTTTGGGCCTACACAGAAGTGATGGTTACACAACACTGTGAAAGTACCCATGTGAAATGCCACTGAATTGCATGCTTTAAAATGGCTAAGTCCATGTCATGTGAATTTTACCGCCATTTAAAAAAAAAAAATCTCAGGCACTGATGGTGCAGGTGGATTTGCAGTTAGACACACAGGATGCCCTAGTCCTGAGGTTCGTCTCTTCCTCTGTTTAGACCGTCGGCAACCTGAGGGTAGGGGAGGGAGCGTCTGTGCAAGTAGGGGAAGCTGAGGCTGATCCAGTCATTAAGCTACTGGGTGGCTGTGGGCAAGGGAGACAGTCACTGGATATGTCAACATGGCTGCTGTCCCCACATATTCAATCAGACGCTAATCTGGGTGTTGCTATGAAGGTATTTTGTAGATGTGATTAAAGTCCATAACCAGTCAACTAAGCAAGTGAGATTATTCTAGATAATCCAGGTAGGCCTGATTCAGTCAGTCAAAAGGCCCCCAGGAGGAGAGCTGAGGCTTCCCTGATGAAGAAGAAATTTTGCCTGTGGATAGCAACTTCCCCCACCCCTATGTGCCTGAGAGATCCCATTTGTTTTTCCTGACCACCTGCCCTACAGATTTCAGACTTGTCTCTCCAGCCCCCACAATCACTTAAATCAATGCCTTGCAATAAATCTCTTAATATATATGCTACTGTTTCTGCTTCTCCAGTTGGACCCTAGCTGATACAGATTCTGGTACCAGAACAGAATCTTCAGGACGAGTTTTCTGCATTGGTGCTAGGTTTTCTGGAATTCTGCTCTAATTTGTTTCATTTAAAGGCACTCATGACTCTATTTGCAGTGTTAAAGGGGGCCATGGTAGTCCATGGTATGATGTAGCAATAGAGATTTAGAGAGAGAGCAGACCATCAGTCTGTGCCCCCTGAGTCTCAGCCTGCCATTCCTGGTGGCCTATCCCATCTGTGGATTTTAGGCTTGGCTAACCAGTCCCCATCATCATGTAAGGCAATTCCTTGCACTAAATCTCTGTGTGTCTATCTATCTATGCATGTGTGTGTGTGTGTGTGTATACGTATGTATCTCCTCTGTATATAAATATATCTGCATTCCCTATTGATTCTGCTTCTCTGATTGAGCACTGATTCCCTGACTGACATAGCACGTTACTCACCTCTCTGCACCTTGCCTTCCACATCTGTAAAGTGGGACCATATCTCCTCTTCTGCTTTATGTCACAGGACAGTGGTGAGAGACAGACTAGATGGGCCAGGGAGCCTATGTGGGCTCTGTTCCTTGCATCACACAGCAAAAGTCCCACCTGTGCTGAGAGCACCTGGGTGACTCAGTCGGTTGAGTGACTGACTCTTGGTTTCGGCTGAGGTCATGATCTCAGGGTCATGATCTCAAGGTCATGAGATCCAGCCCTGAGTTGGGCTCCTTGCTCAGCAGGAAGTCTGCTTGAGATTCTCTCTCTCTGCCCTTCCCCCTGGTCTCTCTCTCTCTCTCTCTCTCTCTCTCTCAAATAAATACATATTTTCTAAAAAAAAGAGTCCCAACTGTGAAGTCTCAAACCTCTACAGTCGGCCACAGTGTTGGAGGTGGGAGTGGGGTCCTCTGGTTCTACCCTTACTGTACCCAGTCAGAGAAGGCAGCTCATTCCTTCCCTGGCCCAACAGCTGAACTGCATGAACCCATCCCATGTCAGGGCCGGGGTGCTCCTGGACAGCCACCTGGGGAGAAAAACCTGGTTGGAACTGCATGGTCATCCCTCTGTGTTAACCCCCTCAGCCTCTCTGAGCCACAGACTTTTCGCTTCATGTAAAAGCCCCCTTTGTACTTATTTTTCATAGAATCCAGCCCTGCAGATACAGTGAGCTTTTCTGTCTGGCCTTCAGTGTCCACAACTTTTGTGCCTGTGGTTTCTAAGAGGAGCGTGTAGTCAACCTAATACAGAAGCCAGCTTAGATAACAAGTTGGTGTATTTATGAAATGGGCACTAATACACCAGAAAGGATTTGATTGTCCACACCTCTCACTGCCTAAAATCAAAATGTTCAGGTCTGCCTTAGAGTTGATGGGACCTGCACACATGGACTCACTTGAGGGTTTAACTCATGTTTAGGTGCTCGGCAAACACCTGTTGACTGAACCTAGGGTGGAAGTGGTGGGATCGTTGCTGATGCCACAGAAGGGAAGTTGCAGGGGGCCTGTGGCCTATGGGTGAAGCCTCTGGTCCTCGGAGCCTCAGTTTTCTCACCTCTAAGATGAGAGGTGACTGAGTTTGAGGCTTTCGAGGGTCTCTGCCGCTCTGCAGACAGCATTTCTGCCAGCCCATGGCTTACTGCTAGAATCTGGGTTACCAGGGGAGGACAGTGCCAAGCCACAGTGTGCCTGACAGGAAAAAAGGCAACGACATTCTCCAGGATAGATCACATGTTAGGCCACAAAACAAGTCGTGATAAATTTTAAAAGACTGAATGAAATCATATGAAGTATCTTTTCCAATCACAATGGAATGAAACTAGAAATAAGTAGCAGAGGGAAAATTCAAAAATCTATGAAAATTAAACCACACATTTTTGAACAACCGATGGATTAAAATCACAAAGGAAATTAGAAAATGTCTCGGAACAAATGAAAACAATGACAAAACATACCCAAACTTGTAGGATGCAATGAAAGCAGTGCAAGAGGGGAATGTATAAACACTTATACTAAAAAAGAAGGCAGGTGGGCGCCTGGGTGGCTCAGGCGTGAAGCGTCTGCCTTCAGCTCAGGTCATGATCCCAGGGTCCTGGGATCGAGCCCCGCATCGGGCTCCCTGCTCTGTGGGAAGCCTGCTTCTCCCTCTCCCACTCCCCCTGCTTGTGTTCCCTGCTCTCGCTGTGTCTCTCTCTGTCAAATAAATAAAATCTTAAAAAAAAAAAAAAAGGACAGGCACCTGACTGGCTCAATTTGTGGAGCAGGTGACTCTTGATCTCGGGGTCATGAAATCAAGCTCCACACTGGGCTTAGAGTTTATTTTAAAAAAAAAAAATTTAAAAAGGAAGGATTTCAAATCAACAACCAAATTTTACATCTTAAGGAACTAGAAAAAGAAGAGCAAACTAAACCCAAGGTAACAGTAGTAAGGAAATAATAAAGATTAGAGCAGAGAGAAATAAAATAGAGAATAGAGAAACAATAGAGAAGAGCAATGAAAACAAAAGTTGGTTCAAAAAGGATAACAAAATTGACAAACCTTTAGCTTGAGTGACTGAGGAAAAAAGGGAAGACTCAAATAACTAAAATCAGAAATGAAAGTGGGGACATCACTACTGATTCTACAGAAATAAAAAGGATTATAAGAGTACTATGAACAATTTGTTAGAGGAGGTCATCAAGAGCATGTGATTGCCGGGCGACCCATGAGCTGGACCCAGGCAATCAGAGGCTCCTTCCCTCCCCCGCTGCTTCCCCCCATCCTTGGAATGTGCGTTCTGCCCACTGTTGCTACACTAGGAGCTACTTCAAAGACACAGCTTGAGAGAGTAATATTAGGACCATCTGGGCAGTACATGTGACTGAACCCCATTAAGATTTCTATATGAACTCTTAAGATTCTGGTGGACACGTGCAGAGATCTACTTGTCTTGTGGCCGCTCAAGACGAGCCTCATATGTAAGTGGCCTTGCTTATTAAAACTGCCACCTACAATCTGGGAAGGTCTGCGTCTTTCTTCAGTCTCTCCTTGCCCTCCAGGTATGGGGGCCAGTTTCAGATTTCACCTGGGGAGCTCCCACATTGGCAAACCAACACAACTGTCTGCCAACACATTGGACAGCCTAGATGAAGTGGACGGATTCCTAGAAACATGAACTACCAAGACTGAATCATGAAGAAATAGAAAATCCGAATAGACCCATAACTAGTAATCAAAACCCATAATAAGTAATCAAAACCCCCCTGACAAAGGAAAGCACTGGACCTGGGGGCTCCACTGGTGAATTCTATCAAACATTTAAAGAAGATCTAACACCAGGGCACCCAGCTGGCTCAGTCAGAAGAGCATGCAACTTTTGATCTCAGGGTCATGAGTTCCAGCCCCACATTGGGTGTAGAGATTACTAAATAAATAAATAAGCTGTTAAAAAACAAAAAGAAAGAAAGAACTAAAACCAATCCTTCTCGAATTCTTCCAAAAAATTGAAGAGGAGGGAGCACTTCTTAACTCATTGAGGCCAACATTACGTTAACATCAAAGCCAGACAAAGACACAGCAAGAAAACAAAACTACAAAGCAATATCCCCTTTATGAATATTGATGCAAAAACCCTCAGCAAAGTACAGTTGACCCTTGGACAATGCAAGGGTTAGGTAGGGGCACCGACTCCCTACACAGTCAAAAATCCATATATAACCGTCGACTCCCCAAACCTTAACTACTAATAGCTTACTGTTATCAGAAGCCTTACCAACAACATAAACAGTTGATGAATACATATTTCATATGTTATATGTATTATATACTATATTCTTACAATAAAGTAAGCTAGAGAAAAGAAAATATTAAGAAAATCATCAGGAAAATACATATACAGTACTGTACTATATCCCTCCCCAAAAAAATCCACATACAAGTGGACCTGTGTGGTTCAAACCTGTGTTGTTTGAGGGTCAACTGTACTAGTAAACTGAATCCAGCAGCATATTAAAAGGATTAATGGCTAAGTTAGTCTTATTTCTATTGTTTCCTTTAGGATAAGTTCTAAGAAATAGAATTCACCGTGTTAAAGAAACACGAACATCTTGTCAGGGACTGGGAAGAATCTGAGCTCTTACCCTGTTTGGAAGCTGACAACTTAGCTGACCTCAGTTTCTTTCTTTTTTTTTTTTAATTATTTTTTTTAAAGATTTTATTTATTTATTTGAGAGAGAGAGAATGAGAGAGAGCACGAGAGGGAGGAGGGTCAGAGGGAGAAGCAGACTCCCTGCCGAGCAGGGAGCCCGACGTGGGACTCGATCCCGGGACTCCAGGATCATGACCTGAGCCGAAGGCAGTTGCTCAACCAACTGAGCCACCCAGGCGTCCCTGACCTCAGTTTCATGGATGCTAGCAGAAGACACAGCATTCCTCAGAGACAAAGGAGCTTAGGACAGCAGTAGAAGCAGCCAGAGTACCAGCACCGCCTTGCAGTTCCCTGGGCCTCAATTCCCCCAGGACAAGACAAAAGCGGGTCAAGAGACTCCTGCATGCGCAGTGGGTTGCATTAAGAAGAGAAAGGGAAAGAGGGAGAAGAGCTTAGAGAATTGGAATCTTTCATACTGGAAAGTAAAGCATGTCTGCCCTTTGCTCTAAAGGCAGACACTATCTCTGTCTGCCAAGATTGCAAAAACACCTGCACTTTGCTCCAGAGGGAGACAGCTCTATCTTCTAAGGCTGTTGGCTCTGCAAACATCTTTGGAAAGACAGTCCAGGACAAAGGCATTCACGGTTCTAGCTCATGCGTCAAGCAGAAATTTGAGAAAAGTGACAGACCTGTAGCAGTAACTTCCAACCAATATCCATTTCTCATTTCTGCATCATCTTGACTTCTGGCAATTTCCCCATGAGTGTACTACTCTATCAGACACTCTGATTAATTTGACTGACAAAGGCTGGACCAAATCAGTTCCATTTTTCTTGTAGGAGTTCCTCAAT